ACAATGGATATCACCGACTGTCACTGGAGACAGACCACCTCCTATTTATGACTTCACTTTAACATCAAGTAATAATTCCAGTGCTATATTATTTGGAGGTTACACTGATAACGGAGCCAGTAACAATGTATATATTCTTAATTTTACTGATACATCAGTGGTGAGTGTATTATTAGTATAATTACATTAATTATTAATTAATAATGTATTGTATGTGTGTATTATTATTCATAACACTGAATGTGTGGGTGTGATTTATGATAATTAAATTTAATTTTATTATTTTAGAATTGTTCAAAGTTATCTAATCCTGGAGGATCAGTACAATGGCCTAAGGGAAGACGTGGTCATTCCAGTGTATTGATTAACACTAGCTCAGGACCACACCTACTAGTGGTGGGTGGAACTGGTGGTGCTTATGATATTTGGATATTTGATATTAACAATAAATCATGGAAGGAATTGGTAAGTAAAACATTATACCGTATAAGTGGTTTTTTTAGGGTTGCAAATTTTGCGGATTCCCTCTAGTCCTGATTTGTGAAAATAAAATCCGCAAAATTTAATTTAATGCAGTACCTGCATGGCACACCTGGTAGAATTTGCAAAATTAAAGTCTGTGAATTAGAATTTTAGCAGATTTCGTAAAATATAATTCCCTCGAAAAAACCACTTATACGGTATTGTGGGTGTGTGGTTGTGGTTGAAATCTTTTGATGGAGTTCATGATTTTATATAAGCTATTGAAGAATGAGTCAAATTTTACATGTATACATGTCATGTACAGTATCTGACAATTAATATTACAAGTTATGTTTGTTGTACTCCTCCTTTATAATGCAGGTTAATTTACCAGTCAATGTCACTAATAGATGCTGGCATTCTCTCTCAGTTTGGAGTGTGACTCCAACCACTAACTGGATAATTGTGTTTGGAGGAAGCTCATCATACACTGATACAGCAGTTGTTGAACTCAGTGAGTACATGTAAATACTAATGTATTGAATATGCACAATTTGTACATATTGAATATAATAATAGAGAATATGCGTGCTAAGTATATTCATAGCTTTTTAGTACCATGTATCTAACCCACACAGTAAATTGGCCGCCATGTTGGACGTCAAGTTTATTAAGAGCTCAATGGGGGAAAACACATTTTCTTCCCTTGCTACCTTCTTGAGGCTTTTTTCGGAAGCTTAGAAAGCATCCTGAGGATCTAATGGGGTCTAGTAGTCACCTGAAATATTGCTATCAAGAAATACAGAGCGGTTTCCTGGTACCAAGCCTTTTTCTATCATTTCTCCATTGCTGCCATTGGAAAGTTGACGTCCAACAAACTAATTTTTTTCCTTGAAAGTTATTACGGTATGCAATGAATACATTTATTTTTCAATGGATATACTTAGCACGCTTATCCTCTATTATAAATTAACAGTACAGGCTTTTGTTTTATTAACTAACATGTACTTGTCATTACTTGAATTATTGTGTTACTATATAGGATATACTAGTAATAATGATTGGTCTACTAGTATAATACCTCTGGACCAGTATCAAGAGAAACTACAAGAAAGGAGAAGAGAATGGGAAGCATCTCAACCTGTTCAACCTGAGGATAGAAGAGAAATAGACCGTCTGACACGTGTACTACAAGAAAGGGAAAGGGAACTAGAGGAGGAGAAAAGAGAAAAGGAACAAGTTAGAAACAGACTACAACAACAACTTCAAGGAAGAGAACAACAACTTCAACAAGCACAGCAACAAGGACAAGAAAGAGAGAGGGAAATTCAACAGGCGAGGGAAAGAGAGAGGCAAGCCAGAGAACAAGTCCAGGGTCTTCAACAACAACTTCAAGAAAAGGAGAGGCAACTTCAACAAGCACAGCAGCAACTTCAATCAAGAGAGAGAGAATCTCAAGAAAGAGAGCGACAGCTTCAAAGGCAAGTAGAAGGTGGCCAGCAAAGAGAACAGGATCTTCAACGACAGCTTCAACAAGCTCAGCAGCAACTAAGAGAGAGAGATAGAGAAGAGAGAGAGTCTTCCTGGGTAGTTAGCAGAAATGATATTAGAATGACAGAAAGGATTCTAGGGAGAGGAGGATGGGGAGAGGTCAGAGTAGCTCGTTTCCATGGACTGGAAGTTGCTGCAAAGGTACTTCACGAGACCATCATATCAGAATATAACGTGTCACTGTTCTCTCGTGAAATGAATATTGCTTCTAAAATACGTCATCCTAACCTCCTTCAGTTCATAGGAGCGACTACAGAGGGTAATCCAATCATCCTGACAGAGCTAATGCCGACGAGCCTAAGAAAGGAATTAGAGATTGGAGGAGTGACCTATCCTGCGATACTGAGCATCAGTTTAGATGTAGCCTGTGCTCTCAATTACCTTCATCTCTTCAAGCCTCATCCTATACTACATAGAGATGTCAGCAGTGCTAATGTACTCCTTCAACCAATGTTAGGAGTATGGAGGGCTAAAGTATCTGATTACGGATCAGCTAATCTTCAGCCTCTGATTGGTAGGACGACTAATCCTGGTAATCCTGTCTATTCAGCACCTGAAGCAGGGATCCAAGGGAGCACTCTCCTTCAAT